CCAAGGAGCTCGTCTTCTCAGTCGACAGCCCGCACCCGAGCACCCGCAGCGCAGCAGCGGGCGGCAAGCCGGGAGATCGCATACTCGCACACGACGCCCGCGACCCCATCCCAGGAGTGCGACAAATCGGGCATGAGGAGATCTGGAAGCTGATGGGCGGGTCGGCAGCGACGTTCCGCAGGACAGTGAGCGAAGGCACCAGCGCGGAACCCTCGCCGCCGGGGCCATCCAGGCAGCCACACCGCAGCTGGCAGCAGACGCGATGATCGAGGAGGCGTTCGCCCAGCTCGAGTACTGCAGGAGGCAGCAGGAGGAGGCCAAGGCAGGAGCGTGCTCTCTCGCCAGTGAGGGAGAGGCGTGGGCCAGCTTTCAGGCCTGGTTGCGGGCTTGCAAGGCGTGCCCGCATGATCCGCGAGGCCAGATGCTGACGGACCAGCGGAGGGGCGATCAGCCTCGATGCGGCATGCTCCCGGGCGACGATCGCGGGGAGAGACGAGCTCGCGACCTCCTGGAGGACCCGCATCTGGACCTGATCTCTCTGAAGGCGGGGAAGGATCCAGGCAGGGGCCCGCCATGCCGAGGGGGCCGCGGCAGGAGCTGCGCCCACCTGGGCAACGGATGGGGATGGCACTGCCGCCGCACGTGCCGGGGCTCGAGTGGAGCGCAGCACGGGCCAGGATGCGAGGCCCACTATGAGGATCTAGCGAGGCGGAGGGGCCCTTCAGCGCGGGCCACGGCGGAGGAAGGCAAGGCGGCGCCCCGTGCCCCGGCGCGCGAGGCGGATGCCGTGGATGGGGAAGGGCGGGCGGGACCGGGCCGCAGCCGCGGCGAGCGCGGCAGCCTCACCGGGAGCAGCATCCTCGTCCGGCCCAGGTCCAGCACCGCCCCCGCCTGCGAAGGCGGTGCCCAGCAGCCACGTGGGCGGAGACCCCGCCCCAGCGGAGGTTTATCACGCCCCGAGGTCTGCCCAAGGCGCCCCCCTTCGCCCTGACCAGGCTCTTCGGTGCCACTGCGAGCATCGATGAAGGACGGCGCGGCTTCTCGAACGTGGCCTACTTCGACATGTGGTCGGACGGCGAGGATCGGGACTTCGTTGACCCCCAGCAGCCTGGGCCGCCCCGCTACGAGGAGGAGGAATATGAGAACCCGGCGCAGCGGAGGAGGGTCAACCCCGAAAAGGCAGGCTGCTGTCACCAGGAGGGATGCAGACGGCTCCTGCCAGACCTGAGCTTCCAGGTCTTCTACTGCTGCAGGACGCGCTGGTACACGCACGGGCGGAATCACGGTCCGGCGTGCAACTCGAAGGAGGGCGCGCACACCACCGAGTTAGCCCGTGCGCGGAGCGAAGAGGATCCCCGCGCCCGCGCGGGCCCATCGGAGCCTTGCCCCGAGGGAGGAGATCCTGGGAGGCGGGCGGGAGCCGTAGAGGACGACGAGAGCTGGGGCAGGTGGACGGCGGAAGGCAGGTCGGCCCCCATGCGCCGAGCGGCCTCGGCGCCTGAGCCCGCAGCGGCGGCGCCAACAGCCGAGGCAGCCTCGTCGGGCGCGCGCGCGAAGGAGATGGGGGACCCACCCCGCGCCTCCGCCCGGGCTGCCCCCACGCCGCGCACAGCGATCCGAAGCAGCTCTGGAAGCCAGGCTACTGCTGCGACAAGTGCGGGGGCAGGCACCCGGGCGAGGACTGGGCGGATGGAGGGATCAACCACGACAAATACTGCGAGAAGGCCCCCCCTGGCCAGGACATGGGCGATCAGCCTCCTGGCGAGGGCGGAGGCAGACGGGGCGAGCGGAAGAAGCAGGGCGGCGCAGCGCCGCCGAAAGCGCCCATGTCCGGCCCTCCGTCTGGCAGCATCGGTTGGAGCGGAGCCGCTTGCCAGCGGGGCGGGGCGGACTATGGGGGCTCGTCGGGCAGCGGAAGGCCTTCGACCGAGTGCCCGCCGCCATCCCCCACCGAGATGAGGAGGAGGAAGCACGCAGAAGCGGACCCGGCGAGAGCGGAGGCAGGAGCAGCCAGGAGGGCGGCCCACAAGAACAGAGGGCGCGCGGCGTCGGAGGGGCCGCAGGTCCGCCCGCGGGCGAGATTGCTGCCACGGGAGGTCAAGGAGGAGCCGCAGTCAGAAGGCGAGGGCATCGGGCCGCGCTGGGCCGCAAGTACAGGGACCTGGTGGAGCGGGTCACCCGTTGGGGCGAAGACGACGCGGCTGAAGCCGCGGCCCCGCGCGGACCCGGGCGCGGCGCCAGCACGCGCGAGGAGGGGCGGCGGAGGTCGAGGTCCTTGGAGAGGGGCAGGCGCAGAACCGATGCCAGGAAGGAGGCCAGCTCCGCCCCGCCACGGCCCACCAGGGGGCGGGGAACCGCCCCGGTGGAGAGAGAACCACTTCCCATGCCGGGGCCTCGGAGGGCCGTTGAGCTCCGCAGCCAGCCGCGAGGAGAGTCTGCCACGCTCGAGGGTGGACAAGAAGGCCAAGGACCGTCACCAGGCTCGACGGACCTCAGGCCGGGAGACGGCGCCAAAACGGCAAGGATCCAGGCAGACAACGAAGCTCGCATGGCGGCGCTGAGGGCGCGGGCCATCAGGATCAAACGCGACGAGGACGAGGGCGCCGAGGAAGCCCGCAGGAAGAAAGCGAAGCACAAAATAACAGAGCACCCCGAGGAGCGGCACCGGCCTGACGGCCGCCGCCCTCGAGAGAGGCACCAGAGTGAGCCAGACCTGAAAGGCATCGACCCGGAGGCGGTGGCCTGGTACCTGCGGGATACCCGAGGCACTGGCGGTGCCAGCCATAGCCAGGAGGGGCTCAGGCTCCACCTAGGAGCCATTCGCACGAGGAGCCGAGCGAGGCCAGGGTTACGACGGCGGCGGGAGGCGCGCCAGGCGCGAGGAGGACAGCCGCAGGAGCGGATGCCTAGAGCAGGATGAGGCCAGGAGGCAGCTGGACGCGATGGTTCGGACGTGGGGGTATCCCGACCAGAGGGGCGGGTGGCTCGACTGGGCTCTGGCCGCGCGGTGCTCAGGCGAGGCCGAAGACTGGAGGGCGGGCGCCAACACCCAAAGGAAGAGGAGGCGCGGAGGCAAGAGCGTGGACCCGGACGAGAATAGGCCGCCAAACCTGCTGGGGCCCGAAGCGGTCAGGGAGAAGAGCCGGACGATATGACGCTGACGGACCTCAAGACGCGCGAGGACTGGGAGAAAGCTAAGCTGGAGCTCATCCTGGATAGGCTGGCCAGCTCCACCATCAAGTCTTACAGCCTAGGCTGGAGGTGGTGGTCCCTGTTCTGCCGGGCGAGGGGTATCAGCCCACTCAAGGAGGTCACGCCCACGAGCCGAAGGGACGAGGAGGAGCTGATGCTGGAGTTCGTCGTGCACCTGTCGAGACGAGGGTACAAGAAAGCGGGCACCATCAAGCAGTACCTGAGTGCCGTACGGGCCCAGCACCTCGCCCCTGGTCTGGGCGATCTCACGGCGGACGCGGGCAGGCTCTGGATGGCGATCGACGGGCAGAAGAGACGAGACGGCGACACCAAGCGGAAGAAGCCAGCCACGCCCAGGATAATGAGGTGGATCCAGAGGAAGCTGCAGCCGGAAAGGTCGCGCGAGGGCGCAACCCTATGGGCTGCGGTCGCCACGGGCTATTCCTTCCTGTTGAAGGCCAGCGAGTACGTGTCGGGCGACCAGAACGGCTACACCGGTGGCAAGGGCCTAAGGGGCGTGGACGTCACACCGAAGGCAGCAGGCGAGCCGACGAGGAGCTGGCCTGAGGCGAACGAAGTCGTCATCAAACTACGGGCCAGCAAGACGGACCAGTACAATCGAGGAGAATGGCGCAACCACTTCAGGGTCGAAGCAGCACCAGGCACGGTGGACGACGAACACGTTTGCGTGGTGGAGGCGCTGACGATCTACGAGGGGGGGGCACGCGAGAGGTTCTCCGGAGCGCAGTCGTATGACCCGCTCTTCGCCTACGACGACAGGCGACTCGTCACGAGGGTCGACGTCCAGCGCGTGGTGATGCAGTCAGCCGTGGCGGAGGGGGTCGACCCGAATGACCTGGGCTCCCACAGCTTGAGGATCGGGGGGGCGTCAGCGCTTTACGCGGCCTTCAAGGACACAGCGCTGGTGCAGCGCTGGGAGCCATGGAACAGCGACGCCTTCCAAGGCTACTTGTGGGAAGCGAGGGATATGGCGCAGGGCGCAGCCAGCAGCATGGCGTCCGCGGACCTGACCATGGTATGAGGAGCGCACGAGGCGGCCGCGTTGGCCAGAGGCTCCAGCGCAGGGCAGCCGAGGCCGGAAGGCCCGAGGCTGAGGCGCAGGGGAGCCTCGTCGGCTGGCAGTGCGGCAGCCAGAGAACGCGCGGAGGAGGTATCAAGAGTGCTGGGTAGTGGGGGCCACGACCCCCCTCCAGTCCGGGCAGGGGCCCTCGACGTGGGTCCCGTGGCTCGGGACGCACGGCGTCAAAAGCACTGAGGGGGTTCAGCGGCGAGACACGCCGCGGAGCTCGCGCCCTCCCGTTGGGGGGCGCCACAGGCCGCTCGAGATGATGGCCTCCTCCTCCTCCACCTCCATCGTCGTCAGCGTCAGCATCTGAGGAGTGTGAGGAGGTGCGAGGAGGAGGAGGAGGAGGAGGAGGAGGTGGCCTGAGAAACGTGGGCCAGGGGGGCCCTGTCGGCCCGATCCGCCTGTGTTCTGGAGGCGTGAGCAGAGAGGAAACCTCTTGCTCCTCCTCCTCCTCCTCCTCCTCCTCCTCCTCTCCTCCGCCTCCTCCTCCTCCGCCTCCGCCTCCTCCTCCTCCTCTCCTCCTCCTCCTCCTCCTCCTCCTCCTCCTCTCCTCCTCCTCCTCCTCCTCCTCCTCCTCCTCCTCCTCCTCCTCCTCCTCCTCCTCCTCCTCCTCCTCCTCCTCCTCCTCCTCCTCTTGTTCCTCCTCCTCTTGTTCCTCCTCCTCCCCCTCCTCCGCCCCACCCCCTCGCAAAGGGCCCCCTGCTGCGCGCCGCCGAGGGTCATTGACGGCCTCGATCAGGGACTCGTTCCGCCCCCGGAGGCGCGGCGGGCACCAGAACCCGCGGGCCAGGGACTGCTCGTAGCAGCGCGCCGGCGCCGCCTCCTCTGGGAAGGGGAGGGAGCGGGGACCTTTACCAGGACCGAGCCCCCAGCCTTCGTGCCGTGCTCGGTCACCGTCCATCGTGGTCAGCGTCATCGTGGACCATCCTCACGAACCGGCAGCGGCCGGCATGGACCATGACCAAGATCGCATTGACAAAATCCTGCGACATCTTGGTCATGTCCCCGATTTTCTTCCCTCGATCCTCGTCGTCGCCCGCGTCCTCCCCGCAGGACGCATCGCAGCCGGGCGGGATGAAGGAGCCCGCCATGCCCGGGCGTTGCCGGAGATGCCCTCGGCCCGATGAGCCCAGAACGCTCCCTGAAAAAGCTCCCGCGGCCTGCACGACGACCCCCGGGGCCCCAACGCGGGCGGCAGGCTGGAAGGGAAGACCTCGGGCCGGCGAGGACGCCTCCGCCAACGCCCGACATGCGCCCAGCTGCGGCCGCCGCCTGCGGAGGCGTCGCCGCTGGCTTCCTGGCAGCGGCCGCCGGCTTCTTCTTGGCGGCCCCCCCGCCGCCGCCCTGGGGCCCTGGGGCCGCGTCGGCGGCGGAGTCGCCGCTGCCGACCGGCCTCCACTTGGGGGCGGCAACCCCGCCCTTCTTCCTGCCCATGGGGCGGGGGCCGCGTGAAGGCCCGGGGGTGGGGCGGCGGAGCGCCCAAGCCGAGGCGGCTGAGGCGACAACGGGCAAAACAAGGAGGACCATGACGGAAATTGCACCGATGGCGATGGCAACTGAGTGGTGCAGGAACGGCGGTAGTGGTGGTAGTGGTAGTGGTGGTAGTGGTAGTGGTGGTAGTGGTGGTAGTGGTGGTAGTGGTGGTAGTGGTGGTAGTAGTGGTGGTAGTGGTGGTAGTGGTGGTAGTGGTGGTAGTGGTGGTAGTGGTGGTAGTGGTGGTAGTGGTGGAGTGGTGGTGGTAGTGGTGGTAGTGGTGGTA